GGTCTGGTTAATCCCTGGCCATCACCATCAAGCGACCTCCAGTTCCAAATTACAATCCGTTTAGTATTAATCTGTCTAGATGGGACCTCAAGCAGGTGGCAACCGTCATATCCTTGTGAAGCAGCACCGACGGTGCTGGAGGGTGCTCAAAAGATGTGGACATTGGTATAGCAGCAACTGCTGTCATGTTGCAGGCCCTTCAGCAGCCTCTGTGGGGACCTTGTGGCATCAAACATGCCACAAAGCTACAGATCCATAGAACCAGGGTGATACCAGCTCTGTTGTACGGCAGTGAGACGTGGGTGCTGAAGAACATCAGACTGAGGTTTTTAATTCTCATGGTCTTTGTGAGCTGCTCCACATTAAGTGGCAAGACAGCATCAGAAATGAGGATATGAGAAGTTGAACCCAGCAACTGCCTCCATCAGCACTGGTTCGGTTTCAGTGGCTTTCTTGGTACAGACATTACTAGAATGGAAGACCAATGTATTATGAAGCATGTGAACCAAGTAATGCTGCTATACAGCCAGCAATTACCATGGTTACCAAAAGCTTCAGTGGTGTGGTAAGATTGCCAAAGATAGATATAAACTGAATATCCAGCCAGACCACCATAAGGATCTAGGGAGAGATCGATCCAGGTGGCACTTGATCTGCAAGGAGACTATGTCCCTTTGGATTTGCCATGACGATGATAACGTGTCCCAATTATAAAGTTATTAGAAGACTATCCCCAATATTAAACATGAACGGTCACTTATTAGTGATGATTATTTAATAGTTTTACCCCACATAAAGGCCGGACAAAAGAACGATTAGTGCCCCGGAAAACCGCCATCCACTTTTTCTCGGTGATGTTCAGTGGGTCTTTCACTTCCTGTGTGCCTTTGTACCGGTCAATCATCACTATCAAGAGCAGGCAGCGTACCAGGCAATGTTGTCAACACGCTAACAAGGACAGCTCTAAGTACTAGCACCACACTGCTGCCATCATTGAGCTCTCCTTGTCTTTTCCCTTTCCAATGACCTCAGACAGCTCTGTATTTTTAACTCTCTTATGTAAAATGAGCCACGTAACCAGCAATTAATCCTACTAGGGCCCAGACTGCAGTATTTTCAAGACCACAGGATCAAAGCAGCACCACAAATCCTACTCCACATTCTCTCCTGAACATACGTGACCTAAAACATCTGAATATGGACAATTTAAGCTTAAGGTGCTTCCATTCTTATTTCTTTATTAGTGTTTATAGTCATCTCGCTCACACACACTCTTTAGCAGCAGAAGAAAGAACAGGAGTACTTGTGGCACCTTAGAGTAACAAATTTATTTGAGCATAAGCTTTTGTGGGCTACAGCCCACTTCATCAGATGCAAGAAGTGGGCTGTAGCCCAAGAAAGCTTATGCTCAAATAAATTTGTTAGTCTCTAAGGTGCCACAAGTACTCCTGTTCTTTTTGCGGATACAGACTAACACGGCTGCTATTCTGAAACCGGTCTATGCTGACTTATTCCAGTTAATTGAATCCCAATTTGTACATGTACCAAAGTGCTTGTGTGTACAGTATATATCACCACATAAACGTATATTGTGAAGCCATGAGCTACCTACCACACTCATGAAATGAGTATGCTGTTCCCAGCTTGGTATTAGTGGCTAATGCCTTCATTAACCACCACATATGAGGAAATTAAAAACAACAAGGCAGAGTGCTGGCATAGAAACGGATTTTCATGATCGGCTTGCCAAAAGCAGAATGAGGGACGGACTTCACGCCCGCAGCACACAGCCCTGCTCCCTCACATCCTTTCCGTATGCACACTCCCCTGGCACCCCCACATGCTCTCAGCAGGAACTCTCCCAACTCTTACCCCCATGGCACTCCCCATTCCCCACGGCACAGCTTGTGCACACCCACTCACACCGAGTCTTGCACCAGCTTTCCCCCTCCACTTGCACATTCAACGCCCACACTCACCCCCACCGCCACTCCCCTTGCACACTTACCCACCCCTTGCACACTTACACACCGCCACTCCCCTTGCACACTTACTCACCTCTCACACTTATCCAGCTCTTACTTACCCACCCCTTGCACACTTACCCATCGCCACTCCCCTTGCACACTTACCCACCGCCATTCCCCCTTGCACACCCGCGCCCCCTACAGCAGACGCCCATGACAGGGCGGCCTTACCTTCCGCGGGGCCCCCGCACCTCCCCAGCCTGGGCCACCCCCCGGTCCCTACGGGCAGCGCCAGCGGGGGGAGGCGGCCCCCAGCCTGGGCTCCCCACCCTCCGCTTCCATGGACGCCTGGGGGTTGCCCTGGACCGGCCAGCAACTACTTCCGGGCTTGATCTAAGCCTAGCAACGGCAGGGCCCGCCCCAGCCTCCGCCTGATTGGGCGCCGGGGAGGCCCGGCGGCACTGGATTGGTGCAGGCGTCGGACCGAGTCACGTGGGGCCTTTAGCTGGCCCAGGGCTTTGTGGGAGTTGTGGTCCGCTTCGTGGGCTGCAATGAGCCTCCTTGGGTATAACGACCCCCCTCCCCAAACCGGGGCCAGTGACACTACGGGGCCCACAGGGGACATGCCCCCCAAAACTGGGCATCATGACCCCAGGGGTCACCCCCCAAAACTAGCATCATGACACCACCCTGGGGATGCCCCCCAAATAGGGTGACCAGATGTCCCGATTTTATAGGGACAGTCCCGATTTTTGGGTCTTTTTCTTATATAGGCTCCTATTACCCCCCACCCCCGTCCCGATTTTTCACACTTGCTGTCTGGTCACCCAACCCCCCAAACCTAGTGTAATGACACACACAGACAGGGGCCCGACCCCCCAAGCCCATAGGGGACACAATCCCCCCAAAATTGTTACTTCACGAGAATTCCAGCGGTCACTTTTTTAAACAAAGCTGTGAAACAATATATTAAAAATCCTTTCTTGGTTAGTACAATTTTAGATCAGTAGGCACCAAACTGTGGTCTGTAGGAGGCTTGCTATATTAGCTCTCCTCCTCACTTTCTCCAGCTAAATCACATAAAGAGACCATTAAAAATACAGATACGTTTCCTAATGTTACATTTCCATGTCTGCAATTGATGTAATTGCAAGATCTTGTGTAACTGTGACTAATGGGAGTGGAGATGTCTCGGAGGCCTTCTGTTAGGATATAATCCAGTGGTCTCCAAACTTTTTTGATCGCGCACCCCTATCAGTAAAAAAAAGTTTTGAGCACGCACCCCCTGCCACACCGCTCAGACTCCCGCCCGAACTGATGAAGCCAAAAAAGCGCGCCTCCTGCCGTGCACCCCACTTTGGAGACCACTGATGTAATCCACACTAAGAGAGCGTTAAAGAACCTCTACCTGAGATTATTAAAATTGAATTAATTTTAGGGCCTGATCCTGCAGCGGGAACCATTGGGATAACTCGTGGTATTTACATTAGCCCCATTAACATTAAGAGTCTTATTTAGAAATTTGGTCACCCTTTTTAACATACTCAGCAGAGGAGGGCTCCCCGGCCAGAATCTTTAGCCAGGTTCTTTGAATATTAACCTGATCCCAAATAAGTAAGAATATACTATGTTAATTTTTTTGTAACTTTGCTTTAAAGTTAAAAAAAAGGGGGGGGGGAGAACCAATCCTCCATGAGTTATTTATGTATCTGAGTAGCCAGACTGAAATCAATAAAGCTACTACTAGTGCAAGTATGGTTAAGTCCTTGAGTGCGGGCTTGTCAACACAGGTAAATTTTACCTGTATAAATTACATTGTGAATTTAAACTGCTATAGTTATAACAGTGTAAACATATAGACACACACACACACGGACACTTATAGTTTAGGAGGACCTTTTCTAGTTAGGTTACGTTGCTTGGAAAGGGGTTTAAAATGAACTGAAAATATCCACTTTTATTATGGAAGAAAGTGTCCACACAGGCAGTTATGTCTGTACAAGTACAATTATACTGACATAACTTTCCAGAGTAGAGAAGCCCTACATGTTTTCTGGATTAGGACCCCTATGTTTAGACTTTGTGCACTTCACTTTGCTACCCTGCAGCCTGGTCCTTTACTTGCTATAGTTTCTGCTCAATTTTACTTTTTTTTGTATGGGTTTTCAGGGAATATAAATCATCTCCAGACTCCAGGCAAAATGGTTCAATTAATTCATTCAACGAACTGTTTGGGAAGCAGATTTTTAATTCAAGACTAAACAAAAATGCCTGGGGAGAGTGCTCTTTTGATTTTATTGTGAGTCTTCCAATATTTGGTGTTTTTCTTAAAGCCCCTGCTCGTGGAGTTATGCAAGAATCTCAGTTTTCACTTAACAAAAAAATTCTAGCTCTTGTAGTTGCAGAGAAAAAGCGACTCTCCAAAGGCTCAGAAACCAGAAAGTAAATAAAAAGAACCCCAAATGTATTTTAAAAAAAACCTCAATTTTTAAGTCTCTCTCATGATTTGTTGGGTCATGTCTTGTGCTTTCAAATGGTTGGGTTTAGTAATATTGCTATAAGATAGAAAGATGGCTCTCTAAAAACTACAGATCCTGAAATCAGCCTTGCTTCTTATGACGAGCAACCTTCCTCTATCCCTCAGCACGTATACTCATAACCCTCTTGAAGGTGCACACATATTCATGTTACAAATAAACTTTATACTTTAAACAAGCAAACAGCAACTTCATTTTCTTATACAGCTTTCTTCAGCTGCCCCTGTTAGGTGAAATTTATATGGCAAAGAGTTCTTGAAGGTTTTTCTTCTCTTTCTCTTGGAATTCAGAGGCTACAAAGCCAGAATTGTGACCATTCAGTCCAGATAGTAGAGAGACTTTTCTTTTCACCAAAGGGCATCAAAACCAGCCTTAGCCGTTACCTGAACGGGAAGCAAAAGTGGAAAACTACACTTCCCAGAGATCTTTGGGGGGGAAAAAAAACCTTTGGCTTTGACAGCGGCAGCCACAAGTCTTTCCGCCTCCAAATCTTGATTGCAGAGTGAAGAGATTATGGTGGACTGACAACTGCTGTCTCTAGAGCCTGGAAATTGACCAGATTGCCTGATTTTCCCATGCTTCAGCTAACCAAAAGAAGAAGGAAAAAAAAAATCATCCCAGCATGACTGCTGCTTCCAGGTTCTTATTTGCACTGAATCTCCTCTCTCCTCTCCTAGATGCTTGATGGTTATTGCTTTAGACTTACCAGTCTAGATAGATTTTCAACCTGGAATTCTCTCTGCCCCAAAGATGCTACTGGTGACTGCTGGCTTGCTAGGACGGAGCATTTGGTTATCTGAGTAAAACTTTACCTGGTCCTTATGCATTTGTCTGTGCAGAGGGACGGATTTCCTTGAAGAACGACAGCCACAGCACCATCACCTCAGGAACAGCAAATTCAGGGGAAGGGCTGGGCAGGGCTTTCACCCAAATGGCTCACATGTTGCCCTGGTTGCTGCTGTGGCTGGGCTCTGGCATGGTGCACGCCAGCCAGCCACATCTGGGGATCCGGGTGCCTCTGAGGAATGGGATGGGGACCTTGCAACAGGCCCACAGGATGCAGCGCTCAGCTGAGGAGGAGCGGGAGGATTCCAGACAAAGAAGCAGTTTTATGAACATGATAGATAACTTGAGAGGAAAATCTGGACAGGGCTACTATGTGGAGATGACTCTAGGGAGCCCCCCACAAAAGGTAAGGCGTGCTATCCACATTCCCTGGCCGCGGGTTATTGGGCAGGTTTGCGAAGCTGAGACTAAGCCCCGACTTCACAGAAGTTGAGGCATGTGCGGTTTGGTATGTGTACCTGTGTGTGTGTCTCTCTCTCTCACCCCCAGGTACTGTGTGACTGTGCTCCAGAGAGACCACACACTGGTCAAGAGAGAATCTAAACAGTCTTAGAGCAGGAAAAAAATAGCAATTTTAGAAAGCGACGACTCTGACTGCCGGAGAGTGAGAAATACAACTTCACTCAAGGGAATTTTGTGGCCAGAGTACAGAGCCATTATCCGTGTGCCTGCACGAGGCATTACAGATACCCATTTCAGACACAAAAGGCAAGGGCCGGGTGTAGAAATAGCATTTTATAAACTGCTCTCTATAGGTGTTTGCAAACGAAACACTCCAGGCTGTAGGACTGTGTGTGGCAATTACATTCTGTGATGTACAAATGAGGGGTCTTTTGGTAAATACTCTCCCTATATAGTCACAGAATAGGCCTTCAGTTCTGTTGATTCCTGTGTTTCATGGCTGGCTATTTTGGGCATCTGGATGATGGTTGTTGTTGTTGTACATGTTTTACTAATATTCAAACCCAAGGAAGTGCAGCACAAAGACGAATTCGGCCTCTCTTTAGGGCAGACTCCCAGGATGTCAGAGCCCAGGGCTGCAAGACTTGGCCCCAAATGGATCCTTCAACCCTACAGTATCGTAGTGATAACCCTACAGCACTGAAATGCAAAGCTCCGAGCCAGCCTCTGTCCTTAGCTGACACCGTTGTGCTTAGGTTGACCCAGCCCGCAAGTAAGGCACTTGAATTACTTGTGCACAACAGCAATATTCAGGGGTTGCAATTGTTTTCTGATGCCTTAGCAACTTCATCTTGGATTCCTATGGAATGCAGAAATGCATGAGAAGGAGGGGGAATAGGGAAGGGGAAGGGCATGGGGATACAATCTCCCCTGGAGAAATACAGATCTATTTTAAAACGACAAGTATTTATTTTGAGAATGTCACCACAGCTGTGCACCCATCAGAAGGAAGATTCAGAAATGGCAGTATTGTTCTACTGAAAACACAGAGCCTTGTGCGAGTGACCAGCCTGGCACTTCGCCAGCGTTTTCTTCATTGTTTTCAGCCATTTATAAATGAAAGTGGGGTGCAGTTCAGGGAACTTGAGCTTCACCCCACGGGATGATTAAAAAATAGAGGGAGGCTGGGTGTGTGTGTGTATGTATGTATGTATATGGGTGCGCACAGGTGTGTGTGCATGTAGATATGTGTGGGATTGTATCTTGTGTGTACACAATACGAGCCTGCTTCTGCACCCGCTGAAATCAACAGTAAAGCTCCTATTGACTGCAGTCATGCAGAATCAGGTGCTAATGAAGTGCATGGGGAGGAGGTGACTGTGTAATCTGTGTGCATGTGAGAGTAGTATGTATACATGTGTGCATAGCATGCATGTGGTTACAGATGTGTGAGTGGGTGTGTGGAGTCTGAGCTTCCAGAGGATATCTCCACGGAAGCACACAGCAAGCAGCGTGTGCATGACAGCACATTAAGCATGTTTATTATCTGCTTGGATTGGGGATGCAATTCCTGACTGGTCAAACCTTCCAGGGTTTGTTTTGGTTTGAGCTCCTGAGTAGCTCACACTCACATGCAGCATGAGACTCGAGCCAGTGACCTGCACTTGCTGTGCTGGGAGCATATTAGCTAACTAAAAGAGCTGGGGTTTGCAACAAGCCAGCCCCCCTCTGATTAAATGATCTAGTAAGAAGCAGGGTTTCCTTGGCCCTGCATGGCCTGGTGTAGCTCCACACCCTCCTCAGGGCTGTGATGCTCACAGCTATCAGCAGCCAGGTAATAGGATGGCTGGCAAGCACGGGGGAACCTGGGGATGCTCACAGGGGTGTCCCAAGGCACATGGATTGTTCTTTAGGCCCAGTGCTTGCCCCTTAGTGGGTGCTGGATTCCAGCTGACTTCTCTGCGAGTTGGGTGTCCACTGGGCAAGGAGCTCAGTACAGTCCCTTCCAACACGGTCCATGTCCAAGGGGCTGGTGGGAGATGCTACACAGGAAAACCTGAGGACTGGAGTCCTCTGGCTGGCTCCAGAAAGCGTGTGGGCAGCTGCAAGGCAAGTTGCCCCCTGCTAGCTTGCCCCAGTTATGGGCCAGAGAGGCTGCCTCAGGGATAGGAGCATGGTCCAGTCCCTGCAGTCATAGAATCTCAGGGTTGGAAGGGACCTCAGGAGGTCATCTAGTCCAACTCCCTGCTCAAAGCAGGACCAACCCCAACAATCATCCTAGCCAGGGCTTTGTCAAGCCGGGCCTTAAAAACTTCTAAGGATGGAGATTCCACCACCTCCCTAGGTAACCCATTCCAGTGCTTCACCACCCTCCTAGTGAAATAGTGTTTCCTAATATCCAACCTAAATCTCCCTCACTGCAACTTGAGACCATTACTCCTTGTTCTGTCATCTGCCACCACAGAGAACAGCCGAGTTCCATCCTCTTTGGAACCCCACTTCAGGTAGTTGAAAGCAGCTATCAAATCCCCCCTCACTCTTCTCTTTTGCAGACTAAACAATCCCAGTTCCCTCAGCCTCTCCTTGTAAGTCATGTGCCCCCAGCCCCCTGATCATTTTCGTTGCCCTCTGCTGGACTCTCTCCAATTTGTCCACATCCTTTCTGTAGTGGGACCAAAGTTGGACAGTACTCCAGATGTGGCCTCACCCAGGGCCGGCGCAACCCATTAGGTGACCTAGGCGGTCGCCTAGGGCACTACAATTTGGGGGGCGGCGACCGCAGTGGTATTTGGGTGGCGGGACCTTCCGCCGCCTCTGTGGAGGGCAGCATTTTGGAGCAGGACCTTCTGCCGCCTAGGGCCGCAGAAAAGCTGGCGGCGCTCCTGGCCTCACCAGTGCCAAATAGAGGGAAATAATCACTTCCCTCGATCTGCTGGCAATGCTCCTACTAATGCAGTCCATTCAGCCCCTGGCCTGCTGCAGAGACAGCCCATGAGTACCAGTTATAAGATGTGGTCACTTGCCCACTGGGAGCTGCAAACCAGTATCCCATGTAGCACGTGACAGTGCACATACATGCATTGTGGGTACAAACAATGGAGGGGGCTGTACCAAGAATACCGTAGAGCAGTCTGGTGCTGGGCAGAGCTGGGCCTGGGATAGATGCACACGTGGAAAGTGAAAGGTTCCCCAAGCCCGTGGCTGCCCTACACACCCATCCAATTCCCTGCTGGTGGCCTCGCTGTGCAGCTCCAGCCACCCCATACAGAGCAGCTATTTCGAATGGCTAATGAGCCCGTTATAACCGTAAAGAGCTCCCCTCCCCGCGACACCCTCCAAACGCATGCCACACCCCTGCATCTGGCGTGCCTTTCCTTCCCCTGTAATGTTATTATTTGCCTTGCCATAGTGCCTAGGAGCCCTCTGAAAACACAATACAGCCTTGTGCACGCCACCTTGCAGCCCCACGGCGCCATGCAGGATCAGCCCTTGTAATACAGTACAGCTTTAGGCACTGACTGGCCCAGCCCATGTTCTGAGTGGGCCTCTCTTGTGATGGCTGAGGCCCCCATGTTCTATCAGTAGCTTTCTCACTGGATGACTCCTCAGCATGGCCAGCCCTGAGTGCAGGAAGAGCTCAGGGCCAGCTGCCCCAGCACTCCCCCCACGCATGAGGCAGATTCGCCAAAGCGCCCAGCACCCATTTAGGCGCCTAGAGGGGCCAGATGGCAGAAGTGCTCAGCACCCAACCAGCGCAAAAATCTGACCACGTTCTTGGGTGCCTCACACAGGCATACGCAGAAAGCAAACGTAACCCACTGGGGAGGGCGTGTCACTGCTTCCCCCCCACGCCGATCCACCCAGGATCCAAGTTGTTCCAGCCTGTCACACACGGACCGGGGGTGCACAGACTCAGCTCTGCCAAGACTTCCTGTTTCTGGGCGGGAAGGATGGACGCAAGGAGGGGAATGTCCAGGGGAGAAAATGGAAGGAGTGACTGTGGGGAAAAGAGTTACAGAGGAAACACCAGGTCTTTCCTCAGTTTCCCCCATACTCTAGGAAACTACTTCCTACAGTGGAAGAAGGAGAGGGAGAAAAATATTTCTAAAAAATCTAGTTTTAAAAAATGATTTCATGCTCACTCAGATGTGAGTGGAGAATGAAGCAGCGCAACTTAAGTCAAATTAAAAAACAAAAGAGGAAAATCCCTGCTTAAAGAGGAAGGGCCCAATCCTGCAGACTCAGAGCACTCAGCACCCACAGTGGGAGCTAAGCCCCACATAGGATCAGGGTCAAATCAGCTTCTGCCCTGGTTAATTTCAGAAGCCCAGACAGCACTGCCAAGTACAGCCCGGCTAAGAATCTGCCTGTTAACGGGTCCAGCCGCCCAGGGCTCCGTGTGCCACAGCTCCAGGCATGGGACACACGGACTGTGTCCAGCACCGATCTGTAACTCACCTTCACTCAGCAGCCAGGCCCATTTGTGTGCACAGCCCTGTCCAGGCAGACCGGCTCTTCAGCTCCCTGCTGCCCCCTCTTCCTGGCCGACGTAGGTGGGGCTCCTTCGGCCTGGCCACTGGAAAGGCCCTGCAGAGCGCAGGGTTCTGACCTTCGCCCACCCTCGGGGTCCCACTGGCCACTCACCAGCAGCCTGGGGCTGCCCCCAATTTGCACATGAATACACACACCCCTGGGTAGGGCTGCTGGAGACTTTCCCCAGCCCAGGAAGGACTAGCACCAAGCCCAAGGTCTGCTCAGGCCCTTCCTTCAGACCCAGCTTCTTCTTCGAACACACTAAATCAGTTCAACATCAGCTTCCCCAGCCACCTCCCTGTAGCCCCTCCCTTGAGCTAGGCTCTTTCAGACTCTATAGAGATCACCTGTCCCCCTTCCCAGCTGGGTCTGATCATCCCCTTTCAGGCCCAACTCCTGTTCTTAAAGGGGCTCCAGCTCCAAACAGGGGCTGGCTAGCGGCTAGCCTCAAGCCCCTTGGCCCGCTCACATCGTGGGACATGTCAGCCCGTGTCTCGACCTCAAAGAGTGCAGGACGCACTCACTGGCTGAGCCCGTCGAGCAATGCTGGGGGGTTGCAGACCAGCACACTATATTTGATAAGCAAGCCGGGTTACCGATGGGTGCACTCTAAGCACTTTCTTACCAAAGCTGCTGCTCCCAGATTATGATAGACCCCTGGCTTTTTCAGAGCCATTAAGCACTGATATCCCTCACTAATGCCGCCTGTGGTGAGCTTTGTCCTCAGGCCCTGGCTGCATCCAGAATGCCTCCTAGAGCCCAGCCTGGCATCTGATTGTGCTTGGGCATCACGTGCCTTGATGGGGTCCCTGGCAGCCCCCAGGGGGTGGAACTTGCTCCCCAAGAATCAGCCTGGAGGCATTTCCATTGGGAAGGCTGTTTCTTCTCCAAGTTCTGCTGCCTTCCCATCACCTGCCGCCCTCCCCCATCCCTTCCTGGTTGGCCCTGTCTCCCTCCTTAGGTTTCATGTCTCTGGACACTAGATTTTTATGCCATGTCAATTGTGCTGTAATTATGGGTCTGTGCAGCACCTCCCCAGGGAGTCACTCTCAATAATGTATTTCATTCCACTAGGAGTCCCTGTTTCCGCCATTCGGACCCGCCCGGCTGTAGGCTCAGCAACAAGTCAGACTTTAGAGCCCATTGCATATTGTGGCAATGTCAGCACGTGACCACTCCCAGCCACCCATGGGCCCCTCCCCAACCTCTCGCCCTCCGGAGCAGAGATGCGTCTGCAGGGAACCCGGGAGTTCCATAGATGGGGGCTCCGTCGGACCAAGGGCGCCGGGGGTGAATTCCGGAGTGGAGAGGCCTCTCCGACACACCCGGCTAGGCGCTGCTGGCTCCCACGTCCCAGTCCAGAGCAATGCCTGGGTGGAGTCTCTGGGAGAGAGGTGCTATCCCCGTGAAACCCCCAAACCTGAGTTTGCAGGGGCCTGATCCTCCTGCCCTGCACCTCGTGCTGCCGTTTACGCCACATGAAATGGCATTTCGTGCGCACTGGGCCCAGATGTGAATGATGGTGTAAGCCCGGTCCCAGCCTGTCTGACAGCACCTGGGCCGTCCAAAGCCTTTACCCTGTTACCAGGACACAGGTCCCAGATACCCTGCAGCTTTTACCTGTGTGCTCCCCAGGGCCCCGCCTCGGTCACTGCTCTTGTGCGGATGGGGTAAGGTCTCAGGATGTGAACCGTTCGCCTTGCTGGGCTGATCCTCTCTCCCTGCTGCCATATGTTGCCTGTTTAGCGGGGTATTGGTCCAGCGAGACCTCTCTTAAGTGACCACCCACGGGACCAGCAAAAAGGGATCAGTTGCCTAGCACAGATGGCCTTTAATTAACGATCAAACAGAAAGGCACTGGAAGCCATGCAGAGGGGCTTAGAGGCGGGGCCTGCAGACGCCGGGTAGCCTAGTGAAGATGGGGTTCTTAGCGCAGGTGTTGCTGTATCAGTTGCGATCCAGCTGCTGACGGTATCTCTGGGTGCTCTTAAACCTTTGACTGACACACACCGGAGGGGGGCTCGTCTGGAGGGTGCATTAGGCTGCTGTACAGCTCCACCCTGTGAAACACGTCGCTGGGTGGAGTGAGCAGTGCCCCCCGCCCTGCTTTTAGCCACCCTGCAGAGCAACACCGATCTAGGACACAGTTGTGGCACAAGGGCAGTTTCTAAAGGAGATAATGAGGGGTGGAGCAGGATTGTGGGACATTGGCAGAGCTGTGTGAGGCGTACGGCCTGGCTAGCAGGGGCCTAAAGGGCCAGACGGAGGGGCAGAGGAGTCCTGGTGTAGGGGAAGGCCATGCGATGCCCCCTCCGGCTAATGACATGTTAAAGCCCCAGTACTTTGCAGGGAGTGGAAATGAGTGAGGCGTTAACTCCCTCTGGGTGGGTCTCGCTGCTCACAGGAAGACCCAGCAGGTTGCTGGCACTTGCCGTGGGTCCCACCTGAGCAGAGGGGGCTGCTCTCTGCCCCCGCGCCCCAGGGCTTCAGGGGCAGAAGGGCGGGCGAGGGGGGGGTTCTTTTGTGCCTCTGATGGCTGGGGAAAGCTGATGCTGGAGCCGGGTGTGTTTTCCCAGGTTAGGCTGCGGACGTGTTTTGGGAGCTGCGAGGAGGCTGCTGTCATGGTATCACAGAGCATGTGAACAGGGACCCCTCAGGGAGCAGAGCGCAGGCTTGTGTCAGAGGCCACTGACATGGAAATGGATTTGTTTCTGCAAGGAGGAGGGGTCAATGCAGGAACATAAGGCAAAGGAGAAACATCTCGCTGCTCTGTGACTGTTCCAAGCAGAGGCCCTTCCTCACCCAAACAATAGCTCACAAAGAATTCATCAATGAGCCAAGCAAGCAATTAACCTAACTGTGAAACAGCACTGCACTGAGACAGCCTGGCACTGCAACAGCAGTACACGGTGCTGCACTGAGGCAGTGGTGCGTCGCACGGCATTGAGCTAGCAGCGCGCTGAGGCAGTGGTGCAATAGGAAAAGCCTGCTCTGGGAGGTGCAGTGCTGAGACCCTGGTGTCAGAGCTTCATTGGGACAACTCTCCCTGCTGCAGCCGGAGTGAATTTCTGATTAGCGCAAGTGCCCTCTGGCTCTGCAGATGAAGAGCAGAAGCCCCTCTGGGGGCTGTCAGACAAGGCAGTCTTGGCAGATCAGCAGGCAGAGGCTCTGGAGTAGAACGATACCCAGTGGAACCGAGCGTCTCCCCCTGCCCCATTGCACGGGCTGAGCCTGCAAAGGGGCAAGGGTCTGCCTGGAGTTTAGGGGCAGCAGCCAGATCCCTTTGTGCAAATTGATGGGAAGGAGTCTGAGCAGGATATGTCACCAGGGCCTGGAGCTGGTTTCCTTCCCTCTGTTCCGCTCGCCCTGCTCTGCCGTTGCTCCCCTGGGAGTGTGGGACTGGGGGCGTTCAGGGAACACCCTCCTCACTTGGGTGACTGAAGGGGTTTTCTCGGCCTTTGCTCTTGTGCCTCTGAATGCCCATCTACCCTCCTGCCCGGCGCCTTGGGGTCAAGCTGAGCCAGTACTTGGCACTGCCGGGCATGGGTGGGGACACTGGTTCACTGGGCTGGACTCTTCCTTCCACATCAGCGCTGGACCCAATGCCGCAAAGGGGGCCCGGGCAGGAGTTACAGGGTGGGGGTAGCTGGGGGCGATTCCCAGGGAGGGACCCTTCCCGGGGGGCCTGGAGTCCCAGAAGTGTCCTAGAGGGGGAATTCCCTGTGCAGCTGCCGGGGCCGGCCACTGGCAGAGCAGGCCCTGAGCTGGATGACCCCTGGTCTGATGCAGCCAGCCATTCCCTGGGCTCCGGTTTAAGCCCCCGGAGCTTGGCTGCACCATGCCTGGCGCCCCCCAGGGTGTCCTGCCGGAGTAATGCGGAGCCCTTGGTGCAGTCCTGCCTCTCCCGCCCTGCCCCGCAGGGAAGTGGATACCTCCGCAGTGCCCAGCCACGCTGCTGAGTGGGCTGGTTCCTGCAAGGTGGCAGGAGTCGGGTGTCCTGCCGCAGCAAATCCCCCCTCCCCCCCGCTTGCAGAGGCTGATCACAGACAGCCGCAGAGGGAGTGGGGCTGGAGAGCTGAAGTCTGAGGCTTCCCTGGGAACAGTGACAGCAAGGGCCATTCCCAGTTGGCTTTGGAGCTGGGGGACTCAGGACTGGGCACTGGGGAGGCCCCTGGGGCACAGGGTGTGGGCAGAGGAAATCTGGGCACTGCCACTCTCCCCACCCTGTGAATAAATGCAAACGTTAAAAGCTAAGGCATTAACAGCCCAGAGCGCACCAGAGGCCAGGCCATGGCAGGGGCTGGCTACCCCACGGAGCCAGGCAGGGGTGGGGCGGTACTAGCACCGACGTTTCCTGCTCCTAAGTAACGTGGCTCCCCCCTCTCCTTCCCCAGCTGAACATTCTGGTGGACACGGGGAGCAGTAACTTTGCCGTGGGGGCAGCGCCGCACGCCTTCCTGCGGAGGTACTACCAGCGACAGCTGTGAGTATGGCCGGCGTGCTAGAGGCTGGCGGGGCAGAGCGCAGCGCTGCACTGGGGAAGCCCAGTCACCCCGCCTGGTGGCTCAGCCATGGGGCACCCACCGCCCTGGCCCCAAAAAGCGACTCCCAGGGGACCCCCACTTTGCTCTTTCCCCTCTTGGGGAGGGGGCCCTGCTCTGAGCCAGCATCCCCAGCTGTGGCAGTGCCGGGGGCTCCCTGCTGGGCCCAGGGCCCCGGACGTAGCTAGATGCTGAGGGGGCTGCTGTGAAGGGAGGTCCTGTCCACAGCAGCCCAAGCAGAGATCGCGGTGCCCCTCTCCACCCCCAACCTGTGCCCCCTCCCCGCACCCCATCTGCCGCTCCGGGCCCCTGGCCTGGTAGCCTGTGGAAGCCGCTTCTCACGGAATCACGCCCTGAGCTGACAGCAGCCATCGCCCTCAGACCACAGCCCCCAGGAATGCTCCCTCCCTGCACCCGCTGCTCAGGTCGGCTGGTTATCCCACTTTGGAGAGGGCAGGCCCAGGAGGCTCCCGAGGGGCTGGCTCTCTCTGGCGTGGAACCCACTGGGGGTTTGCTGGGCTCCCCCCTCGGGCAGGGTGGCGGTTCTGTGCTCAGCCCCAAGAGCTGCTTGAGGTGAGGCTGCCCCGTGGCCCCCCGCTAGCACTCGCAGAGCCCTGGCGGTTCCCCTCCAGGGAGAGGAATTACAGGCAGGAAAGGAGCCGGCGCACGAGGCTGGGGCAGGTGCTGGCAGCAATGGCCAGGTTTAGTCACTGGGCCCGCTCCGGGGCCCGCAGCGTGCTCCCATGGAGTAATGAGATGAACCATTGCTCCACACCGCACGGACAGAGCGAGCTCCAGCTCCGAGGCCGGTCTGAGGGGTCACTGGGCTGCATGCACCAACGCCCAGGGACGCCAGTATAAACGTGCAGTAAGCCCATCCACTGCAGCAGAGCCACTCCGGATTTACAGCCGGCTGACTGACCGGAATCTGGCCTCCTGCCTGGAACACTGTGTTTATTGCTGTTCTCTGTCGTCAGACCCCCTTCTTCGTCTGCCGCTGCTCCTCCCGCTCCACCCATCACCGCAGCCCGTTGGTGTCATTAGTTGCAGAACCTCAGGGTCCCAGCTGGCAGCAGGACCCCGACACTGGGCACCGCACAGGCTCCTCGGGAGAGTGTCCCGGCTCAGCCAGCCAGCTCTCTAGCTAGACCAGGCAGAGGGCGGCCCAAGGGACGTGTCTGTCCTCACCTTGCAGACGGGGAGTCTGGAGCGACGTAGAGGCCCTGGACGTGGGGAGCCACCCTTGAGACTGCTTCTGGGAGAGCGTCTGGGGGCCTCTGCCGGGCCCAGGAATCGCTCCCCAGGCCGGCCGCATGGCTGGCTCCTGCGTGCTCCATCGCTGGGATGCCCCAGGCAGCTGCCGGCCTGGTGGGGAACCGGAGGGGGCCTGTGCAGGCCTCTCCCTGGCAGCCGGGCGCAGAGCGGCCCCCTCCTGCACACTGTACGTGCCGGGGCTCCTGCTCTAGCCCTCAAATCCTAAGGCTGGCAGTGCCAGGCACGGCGCCGGCCCGGGCTCAGGGCCGACACGGCCAGGTGCTGGTCGGCCTCCATGACGGCAGCGTCTGTGCTGGGGTGGGACTCAATGGCCCCTTTCTGTGCTGAGGGGGGCAGAGGAGCCCCCCCCCCCCCGGCACATTACAACACTGCCCGGCCTCTGAGCCACTGGGCACAATGTCTGGGCTTGTTCGTCGCCCTCCCCTTGGCTGGGCCCATTGTGCTCCCATGACCCTGGCCCCAGCTCCTCCCATGCTCCAGTAGAACTAGCCTGACGGCTTGCTCCTGTCTTTGGCGTTCGTTGCAGGTCCAGCACCTACCGGGACTTGCGGAAAGGGGTCTACGTGCCATACACCCAGGGCAAATGGGAAGGTGAACTGGGGACGGACCTGGTCACCATCCCCCACGGCCCAAACGTCACCGTCCGCGCCAACATCGCTGCCATCACAGAGTCCGACAAATTCTTCATCAACGGGTCAAACTGGGAAGGGATTCTGGGGCTGGCCTATGCCGAAATCGCCCGGGTAAGCGCGGCACCGCCGGCCTGGATGGGGTTCAGCACCACAAGGCCTAGGAGGGGCCAGGCAGCTGCTGTGTACGGGAGCACATCCAGCACCTCAAACTCTGCCCCACAGCCACCTGCTCTGTTAATGCTCCCCAAACCCATATCCAGCCCCTCGGCCACCAGCTCTGGCACTGCCCCCCAAACCCAGCCCCTCGGCCACTGGCTCCGTCACTGCCCCCCAAACCCAGCCGCTCGGCCCCTCGGCCACCGGCTCCGTCACTGCCCCCCAAACCCGGCCCCTCGGCCACCTGCTCCATCACTACGCCCCAAACCCAGCCCTCCGGCCCCTAAGCCACCGGCTCCATCACTGCCCCCCAAACCCAGCCCCTTGGCCACCGGCTCTGTCACTGCCCCCCAAACCCAGCCCCTCGGCCACCGGCTCTGTTAATGCTCCCCATACCCGGCCCCTCGGCCACCGACTCTGTCTCCCCAAACCCGGCCCCTCGGCCACCGGCTCTGTCACTGCCCCCCAAACCCAGCCCCTTGGCCCCTCAGCCACCGGCTCCGTCACTGGCCCCCAAACCCAGCCCCTCGGCCAACGGCTCTGTCACTACTCCCCAAACCCAGCCCCACAGCACTTGGCTATTGGTTCTATCACTGCACCCCAAACCCAACCCCATGCCACTCAGCTACTGGCTTTATCAGTGCACCCCAAAACCAGCCCTGCAAAGAGGAGAGCAATAACACCCTGCCTTTCTCCAGCCCTCCCACAAGGCAGCCCCCATCTTAAATAAGGGGAAACTGAGGCACAGAGAGAGACTGCAGTTTGCCCGAGGCTGTAGCAGCACTGGGACCAGAACCCGTGTCCTGCCCCCCAGGCCTGGCTGTATCAGTGACCCAGGACTCGCTGCTCTAGAGACTGGGGATGAAGCTATCTCAGCCGGTTGATATTTCCAGTCTGCCATCAGCCAGACCTAAATTCCCGGCTGCTCCTTGCCCTGCCGGTGGCATGCCTTGCTGGAGCGGGCAAATCCCCTCTCCTCTTAGCTCTGCTGTCACCCACACACAGTCCCTGGGGGAGCTGGCTCTGGCTTTCAGAAACGGGTCGGCCACCTGGAGCCCAACACCAGGTCTCTCTGTAGCAAGTGCAGGGGAATGGAGCCAGGCCTCCGCGGGGTCCCCGAGGAGCACTCCCAGCTGCCCCGTCTCTCCCGGCTGCTCATAGCTCTGTGGTTCTGTCTCCCCCATCAGCCTGATGACACCCTGGAGCCCTTCTTCAACTCGCTGGTGAAGCAGACCCGGGTGCCCAACATCTTCTCCCTGCAGCTCTGCGGGGCCGGCTTCTCTCCCAACGAGTCCGAGGCCCTGGCGTCGGTCGGGGGCAGCATGGTGAGTGCACGGGCTCAGCTCAGCGCTGGGACCCTGGGCTCGGGACGGTGCCAGGCGCTGGCCGCAGCAATGCCAGGGAGTCACAAGGCAGGGAGCGCCCCACCCACCCTCGGGGACTGGTTCCAGAGTCAGCGTTCTCGCTGGTTCCCCATTTCCTTTTCCACAAGCAGGGCCGGCGCAACCCATTAGTCGACCTAGGCGGTCGCCTAGGGCACTACAATTTGGGGGGCGGCGACCGTGGCGATATTTCAGCGGCGGGACCTTCCGCCGCCTCTGTGAGGGGCGGCATTTCAGGGCGGGACCTTCCGCCGCCTAGGGCGGCAGAAAAGCTGGCAGCGCTCCTGTCCACAAGCCCCTGCGGTTGTGCCCCGCTCCCGGGGCTGACGGCAGCTCACCCCTCTCTCCCTGCTGCAGATCATCGGGGGCGTGGACCACTCCCTCCACATTGGCAGCATCTGGTACACGCCTATCCGCAAGGAGTGGTACTACGAGGTCATCATCGTTAAGATGGAGATCAATGGGCAGGACCTGAAGATGGACTGCAAGGAGGTGACGGGGGTGGGAGGCCACGCGTCCGTGGCTGCACGAGCGAGGGCCACACGCCTGTGGGAGGCGCAGAGAGAGAAATAGTGGGGACTGTTCCCCCAGCCCCCGGCACACCCTGCCTCTCAGCCCTTCCCTGGCACTGAGGGGGCCAACGTATCAGCACAGCAGGGATGGAGGCCAGGGAGGCTGGGCTTAGAGCTCGCACACCACGTGGGTGCAGACCTGTGGGGCGCATGGGGGCACCCCCTGGCCCTACACACTGAGGCCCGTTGTGCCCAGGAGAGGGGGGGAGGTTGGAGGCGGCGCAGGGCCCCTCGCCCAGAGCAGCACGACGCGGACAGTGAAAGGGGCGAGTTGTTTGGTGCAGGCCCGTTCCTCGTCCGGAGCAGGGAGATAAATGCTTCTCCAGGTGCATGCGCTGGTCCCACAGCCAGCACACACGCCTGGCCCTGGATTAGTACATGTGACAAATCCCCTGTGCCCAGGGACTGCTGGGGAGCTGCCCGCTGAGCTCTGCAGCCAGACACGCTCCGTACTTTGCCTCCCCGGCTGCCTTTGGCAGGCTCCACGCAGCCAGCGAAGTTCTGCTGGGACTGTCAGTGATGCTGGGGAAGAGCAGGCGGCTTGGCAGCGGGAGGCGACCTGCTCAGCTGGCATCAGCCCAAGCCCGGGGCTTTGACCCCGCCTCCCTCAGGAACAGTTGTTTAAGTCTGTTGGCAGCCTCCTGTCTGGCGCAGCTAAGTGGGGAGCAGGGCGGGTGCTGCCTCGGGGGGCCCACGGAGAAGGAGAGAAGCCGGGACTGGTGCCTCATTCGCCGTGTCGCCCCCACAGTATAATTACGACAAGAGCATCGTGGACAGCGGGACCACCAACCTCCGGCTGCCAAAGAAGGTGTTTGAGGCTGCAGTGAAATCCATCAAAATGGTGTCTTCGGTCAGTATCGCTCTCTGGCAAACCCTAGCCCCTCCCGTCCCCAGCCGGGTCCCTGGTGAATGCTGAGGGCCCCAGAGACCAAGCCACTGTGACCCGGCTCTCACAGAATGCTTAGCAGACTATATTCAGGGGTCACTTCGCCCACCACTGAAAGGCAGCCCCCTCTGGGGTAAAAGGTGGCAGCTGGCTAGGACAGAAAGTGAAGAATGCTGTTCCGTTTCAATCTGCAAGGAAACTTCGGGAAGTGGGACACTTACAATGTGAGCTGACCTGCGGCTCGGAGGCTGTGGGCACGCAGCCCTGCCTTGGGGAGAGCGCCATGACACAGAGCACAGACCGGCAGGGCCTTCCTTTCGTGCCTCAGCTAAAAGAGTCTCTAGCATGACAACACCCCACCCCCATCATCAGCTCCACCCTGGAGGGAAGGGTCCCCCCACGGACACCCTGCACTGACACCTTCTAGCCCGAGTCACTGAGCACCAGCACAGTCTCACGGTCTCTCTCCTTCCCCCCGGGGCAGACGGAGAAGTTCCCGGATGGCTTCTGGCTGGGGGAGCAGCTGGTTTGCTGGCAAGTCGGCACCACCCCCTGGCACATCTTCCCAGTCATATCGCTCTACCTGATGGGCGAGGCGACGAACCAGTCCTTCCGGATCACCATCTTACCCCAGGTGGGTCCCCGGCGGGGCGGGCGAGCGAGGCCAGGGCTGGGTGCTCACAGGCAGCACTCGGTGAGCGTGTGAGCGGGAAGGAGCCGCAGAGCTCAGTCCCAGGGGGTCCACAGGAGCAGCAGCCCTTGGACATGGGCCAGCACCAAACGCCATGGATTTTATTTGGGAGGCGGGGGGCTCCCAACTCAGAGCTGGCCCCTCTCTCCATACCGGGCTGAGCCAGAACTTGGGAGCCCAGCACCCCAAACATTTGGGGGGGGGAATTTGAAATCCAGCTCGTGTGGGCCCCTCTCCAACACCAGCCCTGCATGTGCACGCTTCTCCCGCCCCTTCCCAGGCTGGCCTGGGCGTTGCTGAGTGAAGGGGGCTACCCTGGACTCAGAGTGGTAAAGCCACGAGTCCCGGGCCAGTGAGCTGGGGCTCTAGGGAGGTGGCTGCTCCTCAGAACGCAGCTGTAGGCTGGAGCTCTCTGCGCCCTGCCCCCCAGGGGCTCTGATAACACCCATCCCCTGGTCTCCTTCCAGCAATACCTGCGCCCCGTCGAGGACGTGGCCACGTCCCAGGACGACTGCTACAAGTTTGCCATCTCCCAGTCCTCCACAGGCACCGTCATGGGCGCCGTCATCATGGAAGGCTTCTACGTGGTCTTCGACCGCGCCCGCAAGCGGATCGGCTTTGCCGTCAGCACCTGCCACGGTGAGGGGCGGGGCGTGCAGCACAGGGGGAGAGCCAGGGACTGGCAGGGCATTCGGGGCGGGTGGTAGCGTCTCCACAGGGCCGAGGTCCTGGCTCATTCTGGTGTCCTGCAAGCAGGGGGGTGGCTGCAGGAGAGGGGGACACGGCAGCCCCGCCGAGTCACCCAGCTTCCCCTCTCCTGGTTGCAGGAAGGAAGGGGGCAGTGCTGGTCCCAGTGGGGCAGACGCATCCGCCCAGCTGAGCAGTGGGTCCATGTGGTTAGAGGGGGCAGGGGACAAGAATGATAGTTGCTCCCAGTTGGTGCAGCCCATGGAGCTCTGCAGCTGCCCTCATCCTTCATACGGCAGCTCTGGGGCCCCACCAGGCCAGGGCCGAGCTGGGGGGCTCGCGGGACCCACTCGTGCCACTCCGACGCTGTCTCTGAACCGTCAGGCCTGTGCATACAGGGTAGCCCTGGTCTCCCTCCTGGCGACCAGGGCAACTGAAAGTGCCAGCGCTGTCCTCTGCTGAGCAAAGCGTAGCCACGGCCCCCGCGCCAGCCGCCCATCACTGGTGCACTGAGCTGGGGGTCCTGTCCGCAGTGCATGACGAGTTCCGGACGGCGGCAGTGGAGGGGCCCTACGTGCACCCCAACATGGAGGACTGCGGTTACAACATCCCGCAGACGGACGAGTCCACCCTGATGACCATCGCCTACGTCATGGCGGCCATCTGTGCCCTCTTCATGCTGCCGCTGTGCCTCATGGTCTTCCAGTGGCGCTGCTTCCGCTGCCTGCGGCGGGACCACAACGACTTCGCCGACGACATATCCTTGCTCAAGTGACACCCGCTCTGCTGGCGCGAGGGAGCAGCCGGTGGGGGGAGGCAGGGAGGGAGAGCGTGAGCTGAGCTCATCAGCACAGGCTCCTCTGCCCACAGAGTTTGGCTGGGGCTGGAAACAGCACCAGCCATTGCCCCAGGCCACAGCCGGGTCTGTTCTTCCCCTGCCCCCTCCAGTGGCTCAGCCAACACTGCCTGGAGCCGTTGGCTCTGCCCTGGGAGTGGGCGCCGGAGCAACGGGTGAGACTCAGCAGCAGGCCAGGACGCTGGGCCTGTCGGCAGGTTTATAAGGTCACCGGGGAGTACATTGAAGCTTGCTCGCTGTTTAACTCCCCTCTGCGTGCAGAGCCTGGGAATCAAACCCCTTTGGTCTCTGGCCAACGTGGACTCGCTCCCTCTCCCTGTTCGGGATACGGCCTCGCCAAACCGCAGCCCTTGTGCTCCAGGGTACGCCTATGCCACACTCTAAGCCCGGGCTCTGACTCACGTTTGAGCCCAAGCCCCACTTCCGTCCACACACAAACCCGTCTGACTCAGGTCAGCCAGCACTCAGGACCCTGCTGGGGGTGGGTCCGAGCCCTACGGAGGCTTGGGTCCAAGCCCTGTTACACTGCGGTGTGGACACGGCTCAGAGCCTCAGGCCCGAGTCAGACGGTCTGTGTCGTGCGGCAAGGACCCGGGGGCACAGCTGGGAGAGGCGGGTGCCTCAGCTGTCAGCCCAGGTTTACAGCGCAGCGTGGAAACACCAAGTGCACAGCCCAGGTCCCCAGACCCGAGTTTACAACCGAGTGTAGACGCACCCCCAGAGTCCGTGGAGGGATCAGCCCAGGTCTGAGCATTGCTTGTTAGCCGCTGCTGCTGCAAAGCCAGCAGAGGGATCCCAAAACATTGTTTTTGTGTAGGGCCTACGTAAACCATGGTCATTACATTTCAATAGTTTGGGTTTTCAAACATCGTGAACAGTGGTAGATTCTAAAATAGCCATTTAAAATCCAGGGGATATTCCTCCCCAGGCAGCCACTAATGTACAATGCCGGTGGGTCAAGCTTTGGGCCTCCTCTCCTGGGAGGTGCCCCTTTCAGATCTCTGAACTGGAAAGGCCTACCCAATAGCACCTTCACTCCCGCGTCGGGAGGGACTGGGCCTCTCAGCTAGAGCCCAGGAACTGCGGTGAGCCTGGCCTCTAGCAGCGAGTCAGCCTACCCACCCAGCTCCCCTTTCCCCCGCCAGGCATCGCTGCGACAGACACACAATGGCATTCAGGAGGGTCCATGCCATCCAGTGCTGTGTGCGCGTGTCGCTGTCCTGTTTGCTGCAGCCCCCTTCTCCCCACCCCACCCGCCCTCATCCCATCCCCGTGGGCTGCCTACATGAGCTTGCATCTCAAGGGCCCTTGGCCGTGGTGAAGCGGGAGCAGAGAGAACGGATCTTCCCCCAACTGGCTCCTGCATCTCTTCTGCTCCTCACTGACCCGGCTCTGGGGGCCCCACTTGGGTCAGCCCCTTCCTCACAGGGGGGTTGAAGGCTGTAGTGTGCAGCCAGTGCTTAATTGGTAATGAAAGAGGTGCCGAGGCTCAAGCAATTTTTTAACTTTCCGAACTGACATGACAAACCCAGAGGTGCCGGGGCTCTGAACTGCCGAGCCCCCGGCAAGTCCCGGCACAGATAAGCACTGTGTGCAGCCACCACAATCCCATGCTGTCGTACGGGGAGCAGGACAGCCGTCCCAGGTATGAGTGCCGGGGTCTGCCTAGGTGGGCCGAGGAGCATCCTCTCCAGGCCAGCTGTCCATGCCTGGGCGGGAGACGGGCCGCTCGCTGCAGGCTGGTGGAGTGACGTCTGGGCGCCTCAGGCTGCAAGGGGGGTCTCTGCTCCAGGGCTTGCAGCTTAGACCAGTCGAGCTAGGGATAAGTCGCCAGCCCGTCCTGCAGCTCCTAGGGAACGGCTACTTCCCTGCGCTCCCCAAGAGAAGTGCCGCTAAGGGGGCAGCTCTGGCAGCCCCTGCTGGGGTCAGGGAAGGAATAGGGGAGGGGTACAATGTTCCTCCACTTTTCAATCTCTTGGGCCCTGGGAAGTGGATTGGGGAAAGGTGGGGGCAGGGCAAACCATCCATTCCCCTCATCTCTGCCTGGGCTGCAAATCATGGGAAAGGGCCTAGCCTGCTCTGGCTCCCAACTCTCCTGCCAAGTGCTGCACACAGCAGCTTTCAATGGGCCTCGCTCTGCAGCACCAGGGGGAGGACCAGCAGCCTCTCCTGCGGTGGGCTGGCACCCAGCCCTGGGACAGGACCAGCAGCCAAGGAAGGTGTGTAAGCCACGAAACCAGCCTGTTACCTGGCCTGCTTGGGAAAGCCCCAGGGAAGCCAGAGCTGCCTCTGCGGGTCACCTCCTCCAGGAGCCCCTGCATGGAAGGCGTGCTGTACAAGACAGGATCGCCTCACACTGCACCTGGCCCGGAGGGGAAAACCCCTTCCCTGTGCTGGACTTAACCATCCAAGGCGATTAGCTCCTCCTGGAATATCTGCCTCTGGCTGCAGTGGGGGAAGGCAGTGCCCCAGCCCACCACACTAAATAGCTTGTTATTTTGGGGGGTGGGCAGCAGCCGCCTCATCATCATCATTAGTGTGTTTGAAACACATGGTTGTACTTAATTTTCCTTGTTTATAATGGCAAAGGGCCGGGGACGTTGTGCTCGAGCAGAGGGCAGCGTGTGTGCGTAGCAGGCTGTGCTGTATGTTAGTGTACCAATACTGAATGCTTCTTGCCTGTACAATATATACATATTTTTATATTTTTAATGCTAGTGCTGAAAGCCCCTGGTTCATTGCAAACCCAACCTGAGGGGGTTTGTGGGTTTTTAAGCACCCTGCTTTGGTTGTGGGCAAAGGAGCCAGGCTGCAAGTCAGGGGTGCTTAGCAGTGGTTTGTCTGATGGAAGCACTTTATGGATCGTTGGTGATCTGGCATTTGTGGTGATGGATGTATTGCTTGTAATATATCTGGTGAAGGGGATGGGGGCACTGGGTTGTGGGGGGTGAAATTAGATCACGGACACAGCAGTGGTTCTCAACCCAAAAAAATGTATCACTCCAGGCTGGTTTTGCTTCTGTCCCATTTCTGTTCAGGGAGGTTTTCCTACTACAGAAGAACCCCCCACTCCTCCTGAATCCCAGTGATCAAGGCCTGCACATTGTGTTTCAGTTCTGGTACTAATTGTTGCTTTAAAAAGCAACTTTGTTCCTTCTCAATGTGGGTTCTCTTCCTACTTAATCCTGCAGGCGACTCCTCCTGGGGAACTGGTAACACTGCTGTTCCTAGCCACAGCACAAGGTGATGGGTAGGCCTTCATGGCGAGATTGAAGAGTACCAGAGCAGCCTGGGCAGGGGAAGGCACTCAGCCAACCACAAACACCTGAGCTTTTAGACAACCGAGGAAACTAGCTGTTTGTAGGAACATTTGCCCAGCCTGGGAACTGCTTGTTACAGAGCTTTGCTAATGCAGCTCCTACAGGGGACCTGGGGTTTAATGTGCCACTAAATGGCCCAGCAAGATAAAGCGGGGCCATTTGTGCGGAATGCAGAACCATTTCATTTTGCAGAGGGGCTTGGGAGGTGGGGGTTCAGATCCCAGGTGTACCTCACACATGTATAGTAGCACCACACCCTGCCGTTCTGCAATAGCTTCATTGTCAGAGGGAAGTGCAGGGGCAGCTGCAACTGTGAGGGAACCATTGACTCCTAAAGAGGGGAGAGAAAAACCTCTCTTCAGTGGAGACCTCTCACCTGCTAGCTGGGATCCAGAGAGGCTGTGCTGGTGGGAGCAGTGTTACTGGAAACTTCCCGTGCAAGAACAGTTCCAAGGGCAGCAAGACAGCGCAAGATGGAGGGCAGACTGCAGGGCTCTCCTCTGCCCTGAAGACAAGTAACTGACCCTGAGCACTAGCCCCAGCTGATTCCAATATGTGACCCTAGCTCAGTGGCTCAGACAACAGCAAATCTCCCGACCCCACTTTACTTTTCCTGGGCTGATTGGAGAGGAGCTGCTGCCATGACCCCCGAGGGAAGGCTAAACAGGGCTCTGGGGAATTTCAAGGGGCAGGAGCAAGGAGTGTAGGCCCAAATTTGAGCCTTGGTGGAGGAGACAAGAAAGCCTGGGCAGGTACAAGAATCACCTTGTTGAAAAATGGTAACGTTCCCCAGCAGCACAGGCTGGCCTGGCCAGCGTGAGAGAATTAACAGCATAAAGAGTGACAAGCAAGGGGCAGGAACGGTCCGGTGGCCCTTCTACTTAAATATCCCGTAAAGAAAGCAGCAAGAAGTCCCTGGAGTGAGTCACTAGCTAAGGAGCCAGCACTGCGTAGCCAGAAACCTGACAAACTGGCCTGGCCAAGTGAACTCTGACTGTGGGTACAGCTGCAGCACGCCACCCCCACCCGCTCTATGAACCTACTTCACTGTTGTTTGCAGTGTTGGTCCCAGGGATTAGAGAGACACAGGGGGGTGAGGTAATGTCTTTTATTGCACCAACATCTGTTGGTGAGACAGACACACTTTCGAGCTTACAGACAGGTCAGCCCTGCAGAAGAGCTCTGTGTGGCTCCAAAGCGTGTCCTCTCATCAGCAGTTGGTGCAGTAGCAGATGTTCCCCAGCCCTGTGTCTCCCTACTGCACTAGAGTCAGAGGCTTTGCTTTTGCCAGCGCCATCTGGTTCCCATAACTTGCTCTGGTCCTGCACTCAGGTAGCAGCCTGACTCCAGCCAAGGGGGAAGTTATGCAACTGAAACCTCCACGCCCCAGTGCCTGCCCAGAACACCTCCAGGACCCCACTCAGCTTGGACCACTGCCTTCAAACGACCGTGTGTGCGCAGAAATTCACGGGCGGGGGCCAAACCCAGCCATGCTGCATGCGGGTGACACTTCCATTGACTTCGGTGGAGTTGCAGCTGCTTACACCAGTGCTGAATTTGTCCCAAGCACTGTGCAGAATCTACAAAGCAGGGGCCAGATCCTGAGAGGTGCTGGGCACCATTAACTCCCATTGAAATCAGTAGAGATCACTGGTTACACCAGCCCGATGTAGGAAGAAGAGCTCAGAAGGGGCAAATTGGGTCTAGAAAGCTTTGTTATTCTGAGCTGCAGCGCAGCCAGCTTCATCTCCTGAAGAACGCCCTTCCCCTGGGCCCTGGGCTAGAGTAACAGCGACTGCGACGACCACACCGGGCGTCCAGCTCTCTGCCCAACGATCTGGGGAGCGGGACGAGGACTGGGGATAGTTACTCTTAGCGGCTCCTATAGACGCCCATACTCTGTAACCCTAATGTTGATGTAAGAATAATGAATGTTACACAGTAAATTATTACATTAAACAGAAAAGCCTTGTGTTCACCGCCTGTTCATTGTCTGGGGGGGCAACTCAGAGTGCAAGGAAGGACAGGGGGAGGGTTGTGGAAGGCTTTGAGCTGCTGAGAGCTCTTTAGGGTTAGGGCAGGTAAGGGAAGTGCCTGACTTGAGTGGAGAACTCAGTGAGATGCACTGAAGTTGTTAGTGAGCCCAGACGTCCCGGGTACCATAGGAAGACACAAAGGTCATGGTGGAAGCAAGCACATTGGGTAACAAGGGTGCGGAGTTTTAGTTATCAGTTCAGCATTCCCCCCTTTGTACATTCTCAACAGGTGGGGATGGCTCACAGGTCAGGAATGGGGTAGGGTGAGGGAGAACCTCTGACCCATTACACTGCAACACAAATGCCACTAACAGCTCATGCTTTTCTCATATGTAGTCGTAGGTTGAAATTATTTGCTTAATTTCTCCAACAACCCCTGGGCTGCTGCTCAGTCCAGGTATTTAACAGTGCAGCAGCATTAGGCAGAATAATGTAGTTCATTTCCATGCACACCTGGATGATCATTAACTCAGATTTTGGGACTAATAGTTGAAGTTGCTGTTGCCAGCAATCCCCCGGGTAGCATAACTGCAGAAAGCAAAGACAAGTGACTCAGCTAGGGTGAGTTTGTTCCAAGGTTTGAATATTGGCAGGACGTGCTTTGCAAACAGCTCCTCTAGTGAGATAGGAAACCTGGCTCCTCATCTTAAATCTGGCCCAGGCCAGCAATAGCTGTGAGTCAGGCTGGGGCTCCTGCGAGGAGCAACCTGTTTCAGCACAGGGAAAGGTGTCTACAGTACAAACAGACCAGCGGTGGGGGCTCAGCGGAGGCCAAAGACTGAACAAAGCATAAAGGCAGGGTTGAGATACTGGCAGGATGGAGGAGGGAAGCTTGCATGGCTGCTGTCCACTTCACGGGAGACTTGAGAATTGCCAGTTTAATGGTAGCTTCAGCACCATCTACATTCTACAGCATGCTAAGGGAGGCCAGTTCCACGTGCGGGGCTGTGACTATCTGTGTAGGATGCTGCTGTGTGCGCGTCCCCCCACCCAGACTGCATTCACCCTTTGACGCCGCGTGCAACGTTCACCCTCTGTTCGGCCGTGGGGTCCCTTGGGCTACAGATAGTTTACCTGTTTTAACCTAAGGGAGGAGGTACTACGGAGTGACACGACTGTAGGAAACCCATTTCATGAGCTGTCCAGGCCTTCTCCCACTGGAGCAGGAAGTGCTGTGGCCTAGACGGGTGTGGGAGAGAAATGGGATCATGTCTGGAGCTCACGAGGCCCAGCCCCTATCAGGATAGTGCTTTCATCCAAGGAGCTAAGCACACGAGGAACAGTCTCTCCCTGTGCATAGGGCAGTGTGATCCCTGTGGAGAAACAGGCAGAGAAGTAATGTGTCCCAGATCACCCAGCACGGTAGCGTAGAGAACCCAGGTCTCCCATACGCTAGCCCTGCACTCCAATGACTAGACAAAGCTTCCCCTTCCCCCAAGAGGCCAGCACTGAATACTGGGCTGTTCATCTCAAGAGCCTCGGCATGCAGAGCTCTTCCGCTGCAAGGTACGCGCCCAGACAGCCCAACGTGGTACCGAAGAGCCGCATTTCCCACTGCTCCTTCCAGGTTCCAACAACTGCAGAGCGGCTCGGCCCACCTAGCATCTTGTGACCGACAGACACGAAAGCAATGAAGACAGGCTATAAAGCATGACCTGAAAAGGAGGATCGATATCAAATCTATGCATAATATACATACTTTTATTTATGAATTCGTATGCATACAGACTTTCTATACACACATTACCTATATAATAAAAATGTACATGTGTATACATGGTTGTATAAATATAGAACTGTAGAAATCTCAGAACCGATTCTGCCTATTCACAGCGACGTCTCCAACACAGATGCGTTGTTTGAGTGGCTATCATTTAGGACTTGGACAAAAGGGGCAAGTGTCATTTGTGTTGGTTTGGGCCCAGAATTTGATGCACTGAAAAAGAGAGAGTCAATAAGGAGCCACCAGCCCAACTCGAAGGTGGTGTGCTATACAGCAATTCTACCAGTATCTTGCTGGCTCGGGGCGCTATCCCCAAGGGATGGTCTGCTCCAGACTGCACCATTAAGATTTCTGCATCTGGGGGACCAAGTCCACAGCAGGGAGCTTTTTAACATGGCAGGATCACTAGGTTCTCCTAACACAAAAAGCAACCATTCTCGCTCTATATGCCTTCCTGTTTCCTCCTTAGCCACAAAGGGCAGACAACTGGGCTTTGCCCCCCTGCATTTCACCCTAGTGAACCAGGGCTGAGACGGCTCCTGTACCGGCACTAAGATCAGCCTCTCCTCCCCCCGGTTAACAAGTCACAGCTCCCAAAGCGATGCACACTCCATGGGGGCCAGCTCAGCCATTGCCCCTGACCTACACCAGAGCAGAACACGGAGAGGGCCAGAGAGCAGCATTCAGAGCAGGAATCAGAGGACTGTGCATTCTTAGAAACCGCAACTAAATGGCCATCTAAAGAGGGCAAACCGCCCGGCCCGGGGCAAGGACACGGAAAGGTTGGCTCACTAACTTCACCTGCCCCAGGGAGAACTGTTCTTTCCTTTAGGAGCCTCATTTCCCAGGGGACTCCTGTGCCTTGCTCTGGCTCCCCGGCCCAGGGAGAGGCTCCGCACCCTGAACCGCACAAGCCACGTAAGAGCGTTTCCTGGCCAAGCAGCTGGCCCCACTGAGTGGCGGGAGGACGGTGTCCCAGGCCACACTTACCTCCTTGTGGAGCACGTGAGAACAGGCCATCGGGTGGAGCTCGCTGGGCTGCACGAGTTTCTGGCACATTAGACACAGCTTACAGGTAGCGGGGGCCTGGGTCACAGCAGCAAGCGTGCACACAGAAATGAGAGTCACAGGAGCCCGGTCACCAGACCCAGCTCTAAGCGTCCTGCGTCCCCCAGGGTCCACATGCCGCTAGACACTAGTGCCTCCTGCCCCCACCCCCACTAAGACGGTACGGAGGGGGGCACTGCCAGCGCTGAATATTTACGTGGGGAACCCCTGGGGACAGGGAAGCGTACCCGCTACGTGGCGCTGATCAGACCTTCTCCCTCAGGGCGCAGCTTGTTCATACCGCGACTGGGCTCTCTCCCACCCCTCGTCAGTGTCGCATGCTTGCCTATCCCAGGCACTCTGGTACGCCAGCAGCCCCCACTCCAGTACGTTCCCTCAGGCCCTCACCTCTGCCCTGCTGTGGTGGCTGTTTCACTCCTTCCCTTTTTGCTGAGTGCTCATGGCCAGCAGATGGCGAGGTGCCTGTGCCCCTCGCCCTTCCCTCCCGCCTCACCAGTCTAAGGTGAGAGCCCAGAGCCTGCACTGTGGGTGCCTCCCAGCCTGTGGGACAGGTTGCCGAGGTGCACCCAGCCCCCTGCAGGCCGTGCTGGGGAACATGCAGGAACTCCCAGGTAACTAAGAACATCTTACATGTGACGGTGTCCCTGGGTAAGACACCTGAGCCGGTGGCAGGAACATAGGGGTGCTGATCTGGGGCAGAGGAGCAGGAAACATGGGGGCCCTGATTCGGCCAAGTGGCTGTTAGCAAAGATGATAAAAGGTATTAGGCATGTTTTAGAGGGAGCGCTGAAGTCACCCCAGGGTATTTACGGGGGTGATGGAGACCAGCAGGGAGGGGACCTGTTGGACTCGGACTATCGCCTCCTTGGGATAAGCTGGGAGCTCCGGCTTTGCCTTTGTGGATGCCTTTTGTTTCCGAGGGAATGGCCCTGTACAGTAGCACAGACCAGAACCATGCTATAGTTCACTCCTGCCCAGCCCTCCTTTGACGAACTCCGACCAACTGCCGCGGGGCTGCCTTCTCCAGGAGCCTCCTTCAATACGACCCCTCCCCCCACCGCTCGGACCCCGACACTCCTCATGCAGCTGACCCACCTGAGCGCCCACGGCTGCGCCCTGATGCTCGGCCAGCTTCGCTGCTACCAGCTGATTCAGCTCTTCCATGGTCAGCCCTGCCATGGTTCTCCTCGCTGTCTTGATCTGCTGCAGTATGTTCGTCAGCTGGGCCCTGAGGAGACAGCGAGCAGGTCAGGAGCACCGGGGGCACAAGTTCTGGTCCCAGGTGCCACTCAGCGGGAAGGTCTGTTTCACCACGGCAACCAGAACCCCTTCTAGCAAGGGACCCGAGATGCTGCCACAGGTTGGAGTCAGCCGTGGCCTTTCCCCAACCGCACGCTGAGGTCAGTCACAGGTACCGTTACCTGCCATCCTCTCCTCCAAAGGACGGCTGCAGCACTTGGACAATAGGGCACCATTGGCCTACATATGGCTCCAGTACTGTGGTATCCAGGCACTTCCCCACCTCTCATGCACGGCTCCTCGGGGAATGCCTGGGAGGCAGGGCAGTGCTATCACCCCATGTTACAGGTGGGGAGCTGAGGCACAGATCGAGTGATTTGCCCAAGGTCACACAGGGAGTGTGTCACGGCTAGCGCCCTACCCTGGGACCATGCTCTCATTGCACTGGAAATACTGGGATCCCTTAGGGTGAAGCGAGTCTAGTGCCGCCAGTGAACCCAGAAAATCCATGGCCACCCCGAGAGCCCTGCAGCGAGGGCAAACAGCAGCAGCCATCCTTGCTGTTCGAACACAGCAATGCAACACAACTGCGTGCTTTTATTCCAGGTCCCAGACGGCACCTCCCACCACAGTATCTGAGCCCCTTCCAGAAGGGCCTTAGCCAACGCCGCGACGCCCTGTAGCACATGTCATTCACTGGCTTCAGTGCACTTCCCAACGGGTACCACAGTCAGCCCCAAGCCCTGACTGAGGCAGAGGCTTCTCCGTTATGCAGACGGAGAGCGAGGTACTGCAATGGCTGCTGAGCTGACGGATGCTACTAAAGGACCCAAGGCTATTTGCTGGGAACGCTCCGTGCACTGCTTGGCCCTACTCCTGGAACCGCATACTCAGGGTTCGCTCCACTCTCCAGACACACCCTGGGGCCTCTCCGATGGCACTGCTGGCTACACCTTTTCAGAGACTCAAGTCCAGCCGCTTCCCCACATGTAGGGCCCCACCCCAGGCAGGGACACTCACTTGTTACACTGGGGAAATCGAGCCAAGAGCTTCTCCAGGATCTTTTCCAGCTTATCGACCGGCTGTGGCCTGTGAAACTCATGAGCACCTTTGACTCCTCCGAGCCCTGGCGGAGGCGGGATAGAGGCAGCAGATGTCATGTGAGGGCTGTGGGTGCTGACAAGAGATGCCAATACAGGGCTGTTCCTCCCTTGGGAAGCAGGCAGAGGGGGTGAGGGCTGATTAGGCCTGGAGATGACAGGGTTCAGGAGCGGGAAGGAGAGCGCCCGAGGGTCAGCACTGGGCATGAGCATGGGAACTGGGACCGGCCCAATGGGGAACGGGAGCCTGGGGGTAAGGGATGGATTGGGCTGAAATGCCGGCATCATGAACTCTGTCTGAGAGAGAGAAGAGAATACCGGTTAGAACAGGCCTGTTGGAAGCCAGCCAGGAACTCCTTCCACCCAGACTACAGACATGAAAACCTGGGGGTGGGTGGGTGGGAAGGAACCCACCCCTCACAGATCCCCAGTCACAGGAGTGCAGCTGCCAAGCTGTCACCAGGGGTGCACGGTCACTTCTGAGCAGGCAGCTGGTGAATACCATGAACACATGCCCATGCCAGACCACTACCCAAGCCAGGGTTTGTGACCAGTCTTCCCAAGAGGCAGCTGTCTGCTGGGGTCAGCAGCGAGGCTCTCTGCTAGCCTTAGGAAAGCCCTGTGCACGAGTGGCCAGGATCTGGGGAGCGACACTCACCTCTGACGGGGGTGGGGGCAGGGCGGGGGTTGGGATCTGTGGCAGGCTACTCAGCTTTGCTCCATTCCTCACCAGCTGGATGTGACCATTGAACTGGTCCTAAGAGAAAGAATGAAGAAAAAAAAAATACGTAAGGGTGTGGGTGTGTGTGGGGGGGGGGGTGTGTGTTACCAACCCCTATTGGTCCGAGAGTCTCCCTCACTCCCAACATGCGGCGCGTGCCATGGCTGCCTTGGTGAAGGGCCCTAACATCAAGCACCAGCTGGCTGATTCCGCACCCTAACAGAGCTACAGTTTTGCTGGACTGGACCGTACGGGGGAGGCAAAGGAATTATGGCTTATGTACAGGCCTAGCCCCATCCCCCGCTGCCATACGGGGCATGTGCACAGACTGGCACTCGGCAAGCTGAGGTGTAGCTATCCATAGTCAGTGCTGAGGGGTAACCTGGGGTCACTGCATTTCTGTAGAGGACCGTGCCCCTGGAGTACAGCTCACAAACCAAAGGCAAGGGTGATGTACAAACTTTCACATGCAATCTCAGACATCCATTCAAGTGAATCCCATACACACGACACAAGATGAGTCGAGTCCAGGACCAAACAGCTTTACTATAGAATGTTATTTAGGAAGAAAAGAGAAACAAGCCTAAAAACCTCCCGGGGAGAAGCCGATGAGGTACTAGAGGGCGTTTTATTGAGGTTAGAGATCAGCCAGATCCTCAGGTCTGCTTGAGTTGTCTTGCTTACATTTGGTTTTTAATTCCTACGCCCTGACCCATCTGGACATGCCCATAATGAGTGTTTCCTATCTAATCAAGTTTATCTTTTACAATGCTCATTCATTTCACTGAGTGATTGCATGCCCACCATAGAATGGCCGGGCAGGGCCCAGATCATTGTACAACTGCATTGCTATAGAAAGTAGTGTAGCTATTTGTGTGAGGAACAGATATAGTCTAACAAACGGCCAAGTTATTGCCACAATAACATCACAGACCAAATCTGAGACTTCATTACAAAGAGAAGCTAAGTTTCTTCAGAACATCACAAGGCAATGACCTTCAGCCCCACATAAACAAAGCCCCTGGCTGACCAAACATCTTCAAAAGCCCTATGTTAGGAAGAGATTTCATTGCAAATAAGATCATAGGTGTGTATTAGAACAGCCTCCTTGTATTTGGTTAGAATATTTACATGAAAGCATGTATGAACAATAGAGCAACCGAATGCCACAGACAAATACAGAGATGGGATCTGGGTATGCAGCCAGCCATGAAGGCCACAAGAACCCCCAAAACTGACTATACACTCTAGGCCACAGTTTCTATTGGTCAGAGCAGCATTCTGAATTTATCTGAAAGTTTTCCTCTGTGTTTAGCTGTCCCCTAATTCAGTGTGTTCGAACTACAGCATAACAGATTTAGACTGAATCTCAGGAAAAACTTCCCAACTGTAAGAACTGTAGGACAACGGAACAAACTGCCTAGGGCGGTTTTGGAAGCTCCTTGACTGGAGGTTTTCAAAAGAAGGCTGGAGCCATCTGCCTTCAATGGTTTAGACACAACAAATCCTGCATATTAGACTAGATGACCCTGGGGGTCCCTTCTACCCCATTATTCTATGGTGTGAGACCACATCTGAGGCACGGCCTTGTCAAGGTCGTTAACACCCGGCCATTTGGGAGTGTCCGTTTTCATGCTCACTGACAGAGTGCCGCACTTATTCCTATCACCTGTTTAAGCAGTAAGTGTTGGCAATGTGGTTGGAGCTGTAGGAGACACAGAACAGGGACAGTGGGAGTCCCCAATAGTTTAATCAAATGATCATTTAAGGGCTTGCTTGAGAACACATGACAAGACTTGCAGAATCAGTGAAGGGGGCTGGGGGGCGGAGGTGAGGAAAGAAGGGAAAGAAATAAACCCAATCAAGTACTTAAATTTGTTTCCATGTTCCCATTCCTCCCTCCTAAGTATTTTTAGGGGTTGCTTGATGCCCAGCAGAGACCCTACCCGGACACTTTCTTTGGTCATTCGTATCCTGTTCAGCCTCATTTCCCACTCCTGCTTGGGTCGTATGGTCTCCAGCGTGGGTGGCGCTGACCTACTCAGAGACAAGGAGAATTAAAAGGGAAAAGAGGGTTTGAGCCCATGTTTTTTGGTAGCAAAATGGGAACAGCTACAAGCAGAACAGAGACACCTGTTTACATGTTACTCCCCATCGTTTTTCTCCCAACCCTGCCCCTCTTCCCTTGTCCCTCCATCGCAACTATAACCCACTTTCTGCTCAAAGAGAGCAGACCTTCAGGTGGTGCAGCTTGGGAGTTAGGACACAAGATGTGCATCTCCTGGATGCTGGTGAAGAAAACTACAGCACACAAACCTCAATAGATTTGGTGCATAACAGATGCTCAGCAGACAAGAGGAAAGAATATGCAGTAGCTAAAGATTAAGGAAAACACATGGAAAACTGGAACTCCACCATCCAGAGCTTTGAGGACCTCAGGCCAGGAAACCCTAACTTGGTTGTAACAAAGTCTCTGACATTCAAGCGCAGACTAGTTGGGGTTTTAGGAGGGGGTGAACAGGAGTAAACGGGGTTACTTCGCTCCCTATTGGCCTATACAGAACTCACTTGAGGTAGGTGAGGTGTAGCTCCGCCTCTTTTTCGGCTTCTTCTAGTTTCAGAACCAGCAGCTCCTTCCGGCTCTCCAAGGACAATATCTAATGGAGAGAGACCACAGACATCGAGCGCATGTACTTGATTATCTCCCGCAGGCCATGTTGTTCATCCTCCCAGGTTGAGCTTGTCACTTTGCACAGTGCTTAGCACAACAGGGCCCCAATTCTAACATCCATCAGCAGATCACAGTTCAGTCATTTCTCTTGCTCCCTGCGAAGAGCAAGACCCATCCAAAGAGCCGCCACTCCGCTGTTCCTTTCACCCATTTTGCAGGGAAGACACATGCACCGTGCCATTCTCAACCTGCCATGATTATTAACTCTAGGCCAGGGGTTCTCAATCCACAGCCCACTTGCGGCCCAGTCAGCACACAGCTGTGGCCCATGTGACTTCTCAGGGCCACACAGGTAGTTTATCTATTGTGTGGATGTGGCCCACATAACACACACAGAGCTGCATACGTGGCCCACAATGGTAAATTAGTTGAGAACTACTGGACTATGCACTGTTCTGCATCAATCCATGACTTGCAACCATGCCCTGCAGTAAGGCGGCTTATACCAACCTCTGCTTTCCAAGCCCTTTCTGTTTCCTCCAAGATGTTCCTATTGATCTCATTGTGCTGGTTCTTCAGCTTATCTAGTTCCATCTCCCAAACCTCCCTAGAAGCAAAAGCAGAACACGTCACACTAGTGCCTAAACAGACATGTTGACTGGCCACCTGGGAGCCACTGCAGAGCTGCCAAAATACTTGGTAAGCTGCCAATGCATTCCTTGGTTGCCTGAAGCCCAAGGATTGCACCCAGTTTGCAGACTATGGCAGCAATGACCTTCATCAGACATGTAGAGGCCGTAGATCTCAAGACCAAGCTGGGTCGGTGCGTACAAGTGACCAGTCATTTCACAGCAGGACAATGAACATCTTACTCTGACATGGGCACCACTGAATCAGCCATGGAGATCCCTGTAAACTTTCGTTCCTCAAAGTTACACCTTCTAAGACGGGGCTCAAAGATGGTAGTAATGAACGGTCTGCTCTCCTTCTCTTTGTCTGTGTGTGTGGGGCGGGGCGCCTAACCATGCTGAAGGTTACCCCTTGCCAAGATTGTGTCCAAGTTTGGCAGAAAAAAAGACATGTCTGAACTAGAAAGACCTGGAAGTGATGTGGGAGTCTAGTGGATCACAAATTGAATACAAGTCAGCAACGAGCTGCAGTTGTGAAAAAGGCTAATATCACCGTGGGGTATTAACAGGACTGTCGTATGAAAAACATAGGCGGTAACTGTCCTGCTCTGCTCAGCACTGGTGAGGCCTCAGCTGCAGAACTGTCTCCAGTTCTGGGTGCCACACTTCAAGAAAGACGTGGATAAGCTGGAGAAAGTCCAGAGGAGAGCCACAATAATGATAAAAGTCTTAGAAAACTTGACCAATGAGGAAAGGTTAAAAAAAACTGGGCATGTTTAGCCATGAGAAAAGACGACTGAAGGGGGACCTGGGAACAGCCTTCAAACACATTAAGGGCTGTTATAAAGAGGACTGTAATCAGTTCTCCATGTCCACTGAAGGTAAAACAAGAAGTAATGGGCTTAATCTGCAGCAAGGGAGATTTAGGTTAGATTAGGAAAAACTTTCTAACTCTAAGGCTAGTTAAGCTCTGGAAGGGGCTTTCAATGGAGGTGTGGAATTCCCGTCATTGGAGGTTTTTAAGAACAGGCTGGTCAAACACCTGCCGGGGAGGTCTAGGTTTACTGGTCCTGCTCAGTGCAGGATGCTGGACTAATGGCCTCTTGAGGTCCCTTCCAGATGAATCAAAACCCCTGATCCAAACAGCCCGAACTCTGAAGAAGTTCTATTTTTAGGGTCTTATGTTACTGCCCATCACTATTATCTGAGCACTCAAGTTTGGCTCTGGAACAGAACTCTGAAGCTTGAACCTGTCTACTCAGAACATAAATACTCCAAAGTTAAAAACAGCATTAGGGCAAAAGTAGATGATAGCACAATAGGATAAATGGACTAGTCAGACCTCTGCAAGCACAAGTTCAGTTACAGGTAGAGGTGACAAAGTCATTCTGTGGGGCCCAATACTCATCCACACCAATGAAGCACTTGGCAGTCTCTGCTCATGATAAGCCTGCGCATAACACAGGTAGGGACTGATGGGCATTGGCAGAGCTGGGGAGGAGATAAAAAGCACGCACCCTATCCCACGTGCCTCTAGTCCGCATTATCAGCCTCTCACTTGGAGCATCACCATTCACCCACTGGGAAAAAGGTGACGCAAGTCTCACTTTGGAGCTATTGTGGCTGATTTAATGTTTCCAATGAATTAAGGGGAAGGGAATGGAAGGAGAGCATTCCACAGAACTCATTTTATAGAAACAGAGTCCTACTTTTCATCAGACTGCTCTGCGATTAGAGAAACAATTTTATTTTCCTTCTCCTCCTGTTCTTTCAGTAACCTGCAAAAGGGAGAAAGGACAGACCAAGTCACTTACTGCAAGAGTGGAGCCTTTCACTTATCGCTGTAGAGGGCTCAGAACTAAAAGCACATCAAAGTCAGGAGCTCTATACAGTGATCTACTTTGAGAAATCAACCACATACGTATTTTTGTAAGGATGCCAGCGATGCTTTCAGGGGAGCATAATCTTTGCTATATCATGAAATTGTGCAAAGAAAGCCATTGTCCAAGCACCAGTTTATTTGCAGAGGGACACACAGTAAGTGGATTTGGTACTTGGATTATTATTATTATTAAGGTAGTTTTAGAAGGACGGTTTAGAAAAATGCAATTGCTGTGCTCTTCAAAATAAGACCTACAGCATGGGACAGTAGATGATAAACTCTCTCCCAAAATGTAAGATCATCCCCTCCCTTCTCCCAAAAGGAACCCAAAGTACTTTACAAAGTATGAGCCAAATTCTGCTCACTTTATCCATGGAACAGTCCCATTGGAACCAGTGAGGCAGTTTGCATGAGAAAGGCAAGCAGCATCTGGCCCTAGAGAAGAACAGCAGCTGTTTTACAGTGCATCCCAACTCAACCCTCCACAGCAGCTCAGGGTGAGCAGCAAGGAACAACTCGGCCACCCAAAACTGTTAGCTATCTATAGGGCACCATCCATGCAGCATCTGAGCAAACCATGCACAGGGGTAATTCTGGGTAGACAGGGAGTCATCAGTCAAACTGAAATTGGGCCACAACACCAAGATGGCAAAGCACCAAAGGACTGAGTGACCCCAAGTACTCAGGGCTTCAGCTGTAGGTCTCCTGCGTCAAGATCAGCCAGCATTTACAGCCAACAACCTCAACATTGCCTCTTTGAAAAGACATTCATTTTGGGGAGCCTCTGTATACTTAGATCAGCTACAGACCGAGTTGCTTAAAACCTGAACAGACCTCCCCTAATATATTAACACACACACTGCTAGAGATACTTTTGACAGTCCAAAAACGTCACATGGTGATGCACTCTCCATCTAGTGCATCAAACTAACCAGAGGTGCCCTAGGGTTCAATCATACACTGTTTTACTTCAACAAACACTTGCTCTCCCACAGGAATACCTTCTGCCTTTCTGGCAGAGCTTCTCAATTTCGGCTTTCAGATCCTGCTCCTTTTGCAAGAATTCTTTCTTCTCTTTCTCCATCTTCTTCTTGGTCTCTTCTCGTTTGATCGTCACATCCTGAATGGCCTTCAGGATCTCCTACAGCATAGCCAGCACCAAGCAAATAAAGAACGTAAGCTCACCACAAGATGGTTTTTTAAAATTCTGAACTTGATGCAATTAATTGGGTGGATAATTACACGTGCCACAAAAGGGTTTTAAAAGATAAATGTTAGATCATCAGTCATGCAAGGCAATGGGCTGAGGATTATGATCAGGAAACTAGAATCTGCTGCACAAGACAGATGGGTGGTCTACGTTGCAGGTTCTCGTGTGGGGAGGAGTGGGAGGTCCAAAACAGGTGTCAGGGGTTAATAACCTTCCTCTCTTTCTTTAAATCTAGATAAGAGAATGTGCTGAAGCTTTTTTCTGTTCTGACAAGGGGTGACAGTATGGAAGAAGAGGCTGAGAACCACTGGTCTAATCCAATGGCTCTCAAGCTGCGGGCCAGAGCTGACTGGTCACACAGTGCTAACTCTCCTTGTTCCCAGCTCCTATGATTCATACATGAAATACTTCCCTAGTGCTACTGCTGCCATTGTCATGGGGATGTTAGGAGATCATGAACAGGAAGAGACCGGTCCATGAGATGCTGTTTATTTAGATGTAGTCCATATGATTAAAGATTCGGAAAAAATCGACATCTAAACAAGTCCTTTGCCCTGACTCTTGCCATGACCAATATCTGATGCTTAGAAGAATCCCAACATAACACACTTGGCAAGTTGTGCTATGTTCCCCATAAGAGAAATCCCTTCCTGACCTCTCCAAGCATCATCTTGTGCCCTGCAGCATGGCACTGGATTACCCCAGTTTAGCAGTACAATTGTGAACGGTGTTGGGCAGGCTGGATGTTGAGAGAAAAAGTGCTTCATTTGATACCTGGTGATTCTTCATCTCTTCTTCCCTTCGTTGCTGGAGCTGCTTGAGCTGCACCTGGAGTTGATTCTCCACCTGCCTCTGTTTGTCTAGCACTTCCTGGTAACGTTCCTTCAACAAGGCCCTTTCAGACATCATTTTGCCCTGTAATGGACAAAAGGGTAGGTAATTGTTTCCTCTCTCCTACTGCATCAAAGAGAATGATGCAGACAGACCTGTCGTGCAGTACAAAGTGCTGATGCAATCAGAGGAGAGCAAGTCATCCCAGTAGGGTATAAAAGCTCAGGAAAAGGCAAGATGCAGGCTGTGAAGAGCCAGGGTTAGTATGATTCCCAGTCAAAAAGCGCAGGCCCTCTTGGACCAGAAGAGGCAGACACCCTCATATCATTGGAGCAGGCATCAACTAGTTTTCAGCTTCTTGTTTAACAACTAATCACAGGACTGTAAAGCTGCCATTTAAATGAGGCAGTATGTCTAGTGGTTAGAGCAGAGGGGGACTAAGAATCAGATTCACAGGCTCTAGTTACTACCTTTTGGAAATTCACTTAATGTCTCCGGGGTGCAATTTTTTCAGCTGTAGATATGATATTAATGTTTCCCAACCTAACACGAGTGCTATGACAATTCACGAAGGTTTTGTCAAACTCTTTGGAAGCAAAGGAGCTCAAAAGGAGCAAGGGTGAGGGAGATTTGGAAAGAAATAAGTCAGTGGTATTTCAATTGCCTTGGGGCCAAAGTGAAATCAAGGTAGGTCCAAAGTATCATACTGTAAGAAAAACTGCCAGGATCCTCCTTGCCTCGCATGTTGGGTATGTCACATGTAGAACGAGTGGCACAGACAACTGCCCACTTATACAAATACTATCACATCATCATGGTGTGCGCTTTGGACAGGATCTCAAAGCACTTTACCAACATCAGTGAAGTCTCAATGGGTATAGCTACGCTGCAGTGTAAGCAGACTCTGGGTTTGTTAACCTAGGGCTTGAGTGTCGACACTCATTTGTAACCTCAGATGAGGAACTGTTGAACCCTGGGTCCCAAATTGAGGCTCCAGAGTTTATACCGCATTATGCAGGGCCAATTTCAATCACCTGCATATCCCAGATTTCCTAGCGGTCTAGCCCTTTGTTCATGGTGTATTGTGGGAAAACGCGACTGTCCAGAGGGACAAAGAAAGTCAGCCCATGGGATTGTGGAATACTTTTGGCAGATTTTCAGAGGATGAGTCCAGCGGGGCTGTGTCTACACTGAAAAGCAATAGGGCTTGAACCCTGGGTCCTGGCTTAGACCCACCACCTCATGGGGTCCCAGGACCCTGGGTTAGTATGATTTGGCATAGACAGAAGGGGGCTAGGCTTGAGCCTCAATCCTGAGCTACACTGCAGTATAGACACACCCAATGTCATTTTACCCGCAAGTAAACAGAGAAGATTTAGGGCCTCATTTTCAGTGGTCCTGTTGGGATCCAGAGTTCCCACTGACTTCACTGAGTCGCAAACCCTGATAACAGAGAATGGAGGCTCCTCAGGCCTGAGTAACTTGCCCAGTGACAGAATCAGTAAAAGATCTGTGATCGGAAGCCAGGAATTTGAGAAGTAGTCCCCTATTCTAATCACAAGACTGGCTGTTCTTTAGTACTCACCAAGTTCTTTTCAATATCTTGATCTGTGTTCACCTCCAGATCAGCAGTCTTGAAGTCAGTCTGCAAAGGTAGAAATGGTTACTTTGTTAGAGCTCTTTGGAGGTGCAAACAATAGTTTCATGCACAGACAGTTGCCACTCTGAGAGGAACTTTTAGTTGTCTCCTGAGCCAGCCCTGACACCATTTCATTCATCAGCCTTGAAGCAACATTAGACAATTGGGCAACAAGACTGGGACCGTGCTCAGGTCAGTTGGTGCTCATAATTCCCCCACCCTCTTTTTTGTTTACAAAAGACAATACGCACACACTAACGGATTTTACAAGGTACAGAGGCACGTATTGCTTTGTATCGGGAATGCCTGCAGTCCAGCTCACTCATTTCTATGCTATCTGCCATCCTCACATCCTTCCCTCCTACAAAATAGGTGACATCTGTAACATCCTACCAAGGAAAGAGCCCTTCCAGGGAGCCTAGAAAATGACCTCTACAAACCAGGAAAACCAGAAACCATCCAGAATAGACACAGAAGCTTTAGTTCTTCCTACCACAAGAGGCACATATCGCATGAACATATTGGCAAAGGACAACAAGGACTGTTCCAAACCTAAGAAAATTACTGGACTTTAAAAGGGATCCCGTCTCTAGGAAGAGTTCCCGCAGGATTTTCTGTGCCACATCACATACTGTGAATTGGTGGATTAAAAGGCCCTATGGAGCTGTTAAGCATTTACTTGCCTGAAACAAACAAAACAAGCAGAAAACCAGAAGAGCTTGCCTGGTGCACACAGCAGGCTCTCAGTTGGGAATCAGTGCTTCTGTCTTCCACCCCCCAACACTGCCCCCTCTTCACCCCCTCTCCCCCCCCATCAAAAAAACCAAGCTGGGGAAAACTCAAGCTTCATGGACATAAGGAAATTGGTACCTGACCTGCACTGCAATGTTCTGAGAGGGCTTCTGGGATGAAGCTTCCTGATCTGAGTCCTGCGCAACTCTGCTGTTTTCAATCCCATTCTCCCCATTTGGTGGCACCTCCAGGGGTTTACTATCCAGCTCCAGACCCCCATCCCCTCTGGCCTGATGCAAGTGTGACGCTTCCAGTTCACCTTCAGAGCAATTATTGGTAGCATGTTGCTGTTCTGCATGGACATCAACCTGGAAGTGCAGAGAAACTGTTTGCAGATTTTCCCCATGCAGCAAGGTTCTCTCTTCTTCCACCGCACTGTCTGAACCCTCTGAATCAGATTGATACAGCTCTTCATTTGAGGAACACGCCTGCGTCTCTCTGGAAACAGCACCAGAGTGTCCTACTGCTCTGGGCATAGGTTCTTCTCCTTTGTTTTCTGCAGCCAGCAGTGATGCATCGGTCGGCAATATCCCAGGATCTCTTTCTGCTCCTCCTGAATGAGCATCTCCTGTACTCTCACTTGTTATTGGTTGGCTATGATCGGCAGCTTCCAATGATAGGGGATCACTCTCATTTTCTTGTATAGAAAGGTCACTTATGCTATTCAAAAGAAACAGATACTAATCCATACTTTGCATTCTGATTGCACCTTTCACCCACGTCTCTCAAAGTGCTTTAAAAAGTATATCCCACAATCACCCTGTGAGGTAGTTCAATGTTCTCATATTACAGCTGGGGAAACAGATAGAGGAGAAGCAACTTGTCCAAGCCCACACGGCAAATCAGTGGCAGAGCCAAAATCTCAGACCAAGGAGACCCAAGTTACTATTAGGCCACACTCCCTCCCTGATATACTTTGCTCTATTTATCGCACACTCTTTAATCGGTTCCATTCTCTTTGCTGGTAGGGATTTTAGCAACTTCCACTCAGAATCTACAGCTAGAACACCACCCCCCATCACTGGTCTGCAGGGAGAAGAGGGCTAGTAGAGAAATGGTCTTCAGTTTTCCCCACTCTCGATGCCCTCCACATGCTGTCTCAAAATAAGCTAGTTCAATGAGTTAACACCACATTGGACTTCTACCACTAAGGGCAGTGCTGCTTTTGCAGAAGTAAGAGGCCATTAAAAGGAACCATTTGATTGATTTTGTGCATCTCTTTACACAAACCATCAGCGAGCGACCACACACACACACACACACACCCCTACGCCCTACCTCACAGGCAAATTGTCGAATTCTTTGTATGGGTCTGATTCTCGTGGGGCCTGCTGGCCTGCAGTGGATTTCTCAGGAACAGGCACCTCATCCTTGGTTTGCTCTGATGCCATAGTCCTTTCACTGCAGTTAAAAATTATCATTAGTATTACAGAAGCACATAGAGGTCCCTGCCAATATGAGGGCCCCCTTGTGCTAAGGGCTTCACAAATATGTCATAAGAATCCCCACTGCAAAGAGTTTACAGTCTACACAGACAAGACAAAGGGTCGGAAAAAGAACGTATCACTATCACCATTTTACAGATGCAAACATGAAGCATTAAAGAGATACATTTCCTATTTATTTATAACTTTAAAAGTATAGGACATTACAACAAAGGCAAACCTATTTAAAACAGAATCCCTGGGATCCATTAAAGTGAATACATCTATATATGGCATCTTCAGACATTGTGGGTCATTATTACCAGACATTAGTTAACAGATGAGTAAAGATAAAATCACTAAAATTACAACTATCATCTTCTAATGTTAAAGAGATCAATAGGGTGTCAGTGACAACCACACACCAAGTATGAAAGAGGAAACAAGTAACTGCTGATGAAGCAGGATGCCAGTACCCCTTTTCATCAAATATTCAGACCCGCGGGGTTGATCCATGGCACCCTTGCAAACATGCAATATACACAATACAGGACTGTCCAATGTGACTCAATCACTTTACAGTCTGAGACCAGCTGACATTCCTCAGTGGCTATTTGACAAGCAAGTTTATATATTTGTATGGGGAGGAATCCATGGAATTCATACACAGAGATCCACACCTTTAAGAGCTTGTCTACACTAGGAAAATGGGTCAGGGAGCATTAACTAACCACAACCTCCTTCTTGGTGTAGATGCACAGCAAAGCCTTTTACCTCCACGGGGCAGGTTGAGTACCACCCGAGGCTGGTCAAGAGAGGTAAAAGGTGTTGCAATGCATCCACATTCGGAACAAAAGGGGTGATTAGGCAGAGGTGAGTTAACGCACCTTGACCGACCCCTCCAGCCACCCATTTCCACAAGGCTGGAAGCCGCCACTGCCCCTGAGAGCCGGGCCCTCGAACCCCAAACCAGAACCAGGCTCCCCCCGGCTGGAACCCGGGGAGTTATTGTGGAGAAGGGGCAGGCAGCCCCCTGAGGGAATGGTGCAGAGCAGCCGCTCCTTGGATGGGGCGGGGGGGCACAGGTCGGGGGGGGGGGCCCACAGGTCGGGGGGG